GGAGTAGAAAGATATAGAAATAAGTTAAATTACCCCAATACAGTTACTTAGTTCACTCATTCCCCCCATTCCCCCTCCCCCAAACTATGGAGTCCTTGATTCAGCTGTCAGGTATCAGTGAGAGAAAGATTGTGCCCATAAATTTTTGAAGACATTGTTTCTCACTCTCATTGTTGACACTGAACAGACAAGGGCACTAGCAACTCAAGAAACTGTAGGCCTTTGCAGGAGGGTCTGTAGGAAGGAGTCTCAGTAAGAATTAGAGCTAGCTTACCTGTAGGGGCAATTATAGGGTGGATACAAGGGGCCAGATAGAGGTTGAGTTTCCTTTTATGCCCACAGTTAGCCATTGGGATGAATAAGCAGCAAATAGTCAGTTAAAGAATTTTAGATGATCCATGGGGAGGGGTTGCTATTTAATCCTGGCATGCTTGGAACTCACATTATAAACCAGACCAGGCTTGAACTCAGAGGAATCCACATACCTCTGCCTCCTGTATGCTGGAATTAAAGGTTTGCTCTCACCACACCAGACAATAAACATCTCTTATCAAGGGTCCTTCCTTCACAAAGATCAGGAATCTGGTAAAACAAGTTATAGCACGTTTTTTAAGGCTCTTGAATGGTAATTATTTAGGAAACTGCCATCATTCAACAAAACTGGAAGAAATTTTCAAAGTAGCATGGTCATGGCTAACGTACACTTAAAACCAGACCTTTTGTTACGAGACCTTTTCTGTGTTCTTGGGGTGCTCAGCAGAATCCATTGTTTCTTTGCGCTTGATATAATTAACAACACATATCACCAGTATGACAACTAAAAATGTCTCCAAGTATTGCCAAATGCCCCTATAGGGGAGAGTAAAATCACTTTCAATTGAGAAGCCTGCCTTAAAGAGAAGCAGAATTTTGTTTCCTATAAGCCTCATCCATGGTAGTTTCCCAAAAAGAAGTTGGGCCTCTCCTTTTTGTCATTTATCAGAAAACAGCCTGTAGCTCTCTGAATGGATCCGAGTGCAGGAACATTAACATTGACTGGTAGACACTTATAAATAAGGCAGATTTGAACTCATCAAATCTGTAGTGGGGCCTGAATGCATTTGGAAAAGTTCCAAGCAGCTAGGGACCTCCTCTTGATATATGAAAGTTTTGACAGCAGTGTCTCCCCATCTGTCTCTGTCAAATAATGTTTAAAACCATTAAAACCATGATTTGAAATGATATGTCTTTGGATGTATTGTATCGTTAGTTGATCTTTGAATTAATTGAATATAAATTCCCAAGGAATAAAGCTTTTTCTCAACATTTTTTGTATTCCTAGAAGTTTCTACTGTACCTGGTATGTTTTATGTTCACTATGACTATTCTTGAATTAGTTATATTGTTCAAGATTTACTGATTCTAAACTTCTAAAAAAATAGACTTAGTTACTGTTCCACACTTTAGATAAGAGGCTTGTATTAGAATCAAAGCCTGCCATCTCACTAAGCCCTTCCTTGAGATGACATGTCTCATAGCTATGTTTTTATGATGAAAGATATAATTATTTCCTTTAGTTTTAGCTGTAAGCACCAAGCATCCACTGGCAGGGCACTTTGAATATCACTGACAGGATTAAAAAGCTTAATAAAGATATATATTCTAACCTCAGTAAACACATATATAAGTAAGGTAAGTATACTAAAATAGAAAAACAGAATTTTCTCTATCCAAGCTATTATAACTGGGGCATGCTCCTCTACCCTGTTTCTGGTTGACTTACAGGGCACGTTTGTATGTCATGTGAAGATATTTGCTGTTCCTCATAGACATGACTCTCTTTGTCAGGTCCTTATATCCTGGCATTACGATTTTTCTGTTCTTTCGCCTATGATCCTGTATGAGGTCTTCTGCTGCCTCTGATCTTGAAAAAGTGGAATTTTAGGAGAAAGGAAGGTGAGAGTCTTTTAATAAATTATAAAAGAAAAGTAAGAATGGTGCAAGATAACAGAAAGTGGTGGTGAAGAGCTATGTGACAAAAGGCACAGTATAAGAGAATAGAGAATTGTGGAATACAATGGATTTTTGTGATACAATGTAGAATTTTAAGGAGGAATATAGAATTTAGAAAGCAACTAGGTACCTGGGGAAATAATAATATATGCTGAAAATAAGGGCCAGATGTAGAATGAGGAAAAAAAAGAATTGTAGAACGTACTAGAAATTTATAAACATATAACTGTATGTTATACATACAAATATGTAACATTATTTATTATCTAACACAACATGTTTAGCTTTAGAATCATATACACACAAACACCAAAAATCAGATTTGGCAGTCTGGATTTATGTATTTTTACATACATTAATATATGCATATATATACCTTAGCCTGTGGTTCATGACCTCCACAGGGGTCACATATCAGATATTTATATTACAATTCATAATAGTATCAAAATTACAGTTATCAAAGTAGCAATAAAATAATTTAATGGTTGTGGGTCACCACAACATAAGGATCTTGGTCACAGCAAGTACCACAGCTGTGGTTACAGCATTAAGGAGGTTAGAACACTGCTTAGACAAAGTTTTGCCAGTGGACTGACAACGTTCCCTAAAAGAACCAAAGACTAAGAAAAACCCCAGGATCAGACACAAGAAACCTTTCAAAAGTTTGGTCAGCATAGTACATGGTACTTGGAAAACAACATATGTGCTCAGTAGAGCCACTAGTTACCTCTCAGGGGTCAAGGGTGAGCCTTTATTGTTGAAGACACTACACATTTAGGACACAGGACTCAGATGATTTAAGCTGGGTATAGCCCGAAAGCCTCTTTCCTGTAGTCTACGTTACATGGTACCAACAGATACTTTGCAAGTTGCCGAGGGAGGGAAGCAATTAAACAGTCCTACTCAGCTGCAACACCTATTGTTGGGAGGCACTGGTCTACCAGCTGCTTTGATATTTAGATCTCAGCCAAAAGACTGCTTTCACCATGGCCTTCATGGTCAGTGAAGAATTTCCAAGTCTATCTTCTTCTGTTTGAGACAGCAGGTGGATACCTCGTCAAAATCACACCTCTTGTTTCACTTCCTTTTGAATTTAACTCATTGTGCTGAGCTGCTTTTGCTCTGGCTTGAAAGGAGTCTGGAATAAAGCAAGGCCTCTAGCCTCCACTAGAGCCTCTCGGAAAGGTCCCATGTTTTGTGTGTTGGGTTATTAATTTTAATCCTCACTCCCGAATCAGGAACTGTTCGACCCTGCTGGCAGGCTCCAGCAGCCTATGAACCACGACAATTACTAATATAACAAGATGTGCATAAAGGTGCAACAAATGGCATTCACATCCTGAAGCATTCACACAGCTCTTCCCTGCTATGGCTTAGTGAGTATTTCCTCTCTTGGGATCTGTGAGTATAATAAGCTGCTATTGCATTTATGATAACTGTCTTGGTTTGCTTTCTATTACAGGGATTAACACTCAAAAAGGCAACTTAGGTTAAAAGCAGATTTGAAGGGAAGTCAGGAAAGGAACTCATGGCAGGGATCTGAAGGCTCTGAGGAATTCAACCAAAAGCCATGGAGGCTATGGATATACACCACTTCCTGGCTAGCTTGCTTCCCATAACACCGTCCACAGTGGGCTAGGTCTTCCTACATCAACTATTGATCAAGAAAATGTTGATAAACATATTCAAATCTGTACACCTAACAAAGCAAAGCAAGAAGGAGGACCCTGGGTAAGATGATCCATCCTCACTCAGAAAGGCAAATGGGATGAACATCGGAAGAGAGAGAAAACAGGGAACAGGACGGAGCCTACCACAGAGGGCCTCTGAAAGACTGTACCCAGCAGGGTATCAAAGCAGATGCTGGGACTCATAGTCAAACTTTGGACAGAGTGCAGGAAATCTTATGAAAGAAAGGGAAGATAGACCTGGAGGGGACGGAGCTCCACAAGTAGAGCAAAAGAACCAAAACACCTGGGCCCAGAGGTCTTTTCTGAGACTGATATTTTAACCAAGGACCATGCATGGTGATAACCTAGAACCTCTCCACAGATGTAGCCCATAGCAGCTCAATATCCAAGTGGGAGTTCTAGTAAGGGGAACAGGGACTGTCTCTGATATGAACTCAGTGGCTGGCTCTTTGACCACCTTCCCTGATGGAGGAGCATCCTTGACAGGCCACAGAGGAAGACAATGCAGCCAGTCCTGATGAGACCTGATAGTCTAGGGTCAGATGGAAGGGAAAGAGGACCTCCCCTATCAGTGGACGTGGAGAGGGGCATGGGAAGAAATGAGGGAGGGAGGGTGGGATTGGAAGGAAATGAGAAGGGGGCTACAGCTGGGATATAAGTGAATAAACTGTAAGTAATATAAAAAATAAATTAAAAAAAGGAAATGTCCCTACAGGCTTTCCCACAGGCCAGTCTGATGGAGGCAATGACTCTTTGTGTCAATTAAAAAAAAAAATCTAACCAGCACAAAAACCATCTTCTATCTGCTGGTTTACCATACACAAATACTATAAAGCTTATTTTATATTATATGGACTACAATATAGTACTTATATTATATGAAAGCTGTAATTTCATGATTGCATGGAGTTCACTCACAACAGCTGCCAGAATCCTGAAGGGACTAGGCACAGAAATGATAGTATTTTATTCCATAAATAAGCACAAACATTATTTGTTCATTGAAAAGTAAAAATTGACTTTCTAAGAACCTAAAATATGACAGTGAAAAGCACAGCAAGTGGACAGCTCCTCCAAAGCGACCACTCTGCTGCTTATAGCACGCGCAGCAGGGTCATCCACTTTGAATCACACTGCCCAGCTTAGCAGCCTGCAGAGTTGAAAAGGCCGCCCAGCGTGTAGGGGCGGAGTCGGGGGGAAGTCCCAGGCGGCCTCGGCGCAGAAGGGGTGGGATTGGTCTTTCATGACTGACAGGGGTTCCTTTCCTCAGCTTGCGGCCTGCCTCCGTACTTCCGGAAGTCCCGCCTTCGGAAAAGGAAGTAACTGCGCATCAGAACGCCGGCTGTGACCTGGGCCTTAGCGGTGACCTGGTTTAAGGAGAAGCGGTGGCAGCGGTCGGTCGCTGTTGTGTGAGTTTGGCTTGGAGGCTCGATACGGTCCCGGCCGCACAGGGCAGTCGGAGGGGAGGCTCGGGTAGGGAACGCCATGCAGGTTAGGCTGGAACATGTTTTCTGGGGACCTCGGACTGGTTCAGGTGGGAAGCGCTTAGACCGGTGGGCAAGACTGGTGGCTCCCTGCCTTTGCCGCTTCTTGCCTCCCATTTTGGTGACAACTTTTTTTTTTAACCTATCTTCTCCGAGGCCCAGGGCTTCCGGGGGTAGGGAGTCGAGTCTGGTTCAGTAAATGCTTGCCCTCCCTGGTTCCTGTCCCCACCCCTAGGTCTACACCCATTTCCACAAAGTGGTTTCATCTTACTTGTTTCCAGTCTCTCTGAGACGTGTGGTGGCATAGGTTTCACGGTATTTCCTCAAAGGGGGCAGTATTTTAAAATTGTTCCCAAACAAATGTCCTACCTAGTACTTTTCCATAGGATGGCACAGAGGAACGAAGGCCAGCCATCGTTCAGAATTAACAAGGGGATAGTCTGTTTAGCCTCCACGTTTTAATCTGACTCTTTGCTTTGGCAGTTGGAAATTTTTGATTGGGAGTCACCCCTGTGATTCCAGCTATGGGTTCCTCCACATCTACTCCAGCTGCTGCAGTAAATACCTCAAATGCTTCTACTCATCAGGCAGCTTCATTGCCTTCAGGATGCCCAATGCATGAAAGGCAAAGGAAAGGTAATTTTCCTGTTGTCTAGAAAATTAAAAGAAGGATAATGGCTCTAAAGCAGCGGTTCTCAACCTTCCTAATGCTGTGACCCTTTAATACAGTTCTTCATGTTGTGGTGACCCCCCAACCACAAAAATTATTCTTCATAACTGCCATTTTGCAACTGTTGTGAATAGTTATATAAATATTTTTGGAGACAGAGGTTTGTCAGAGGGGTTGAGATCAACAGGTTGAGAACCACTGTTTTAAAGGAAGAGGCTTATAATTTGCAAGTGAGGCTTGTAAGGCTGGGAGTAAGGCACTCTTGGACTGATCCTAATTTTGCTTCTCATTACACATTATCATAAACACCTTTGTCTCAGTCTGTCATCTGTTAGTGTAATATAATTTTCACATGTTTATGGTGTTGATTAATCAAAGTCAGATATAAAAACTTTGCAGTTGTTCCATAAAACAGCTTCATCTCTCCAAAGTTTGCCTGTTAGTGACTTTCAGCCATGGGATTTACTCAAGGGATTTATCCATGTTGATATATGTTTCTTCTCACAGCTGAGAGGAAACAGTACCGCTGACATACAGTAGGGTGGGACTTATGATAGTGCTAAACAGTATACAGCCTTGGACATGGAATCTTTGTTCTATAAATACCAAGAATGCCAGAGCTGAGTGAACTTCATTCTAGCTGTCTATTTCAGTAAACTACTCCCCTATCTATTGTGGTCTTCATCTAGGTCAAAATAAGCTTCCACCAAGTGAATTTATAAACTGTTATATCAGTGCTAGGTTTGAAACAAAAAATTTCTTTAATTAGTGCATGTCTGCTTTAGATAGTTCAGACTGAGGCAATGTTGTATGCTTTCTTATATGTACATGTTTGTTACATGCTCATGCTTCCAGTGTCCATCATTCTTAATCTCCATTAGCCAGTCCTCTCCAAGAGGTCAGCACTTATCCTGTGACAAGGATTGCTGGGGTTTTTTTCTTCATTGAGAGAGAACTAGCAATACACATAATAGACAAAATTCCTTCTCCTCATAGAGCTTACGGTACCACCTTTATAAACCTGTGTGGGAGATTTTTCTGCCAAGGAAACTAAGGCTCAGAGTAATTAACTTATGTACTTCAAGTCATTTAGCTAGTAAGTGGTAAAGATGGTGAAAATTCTGTGACTTTGGACAAGGACAGATCCCACAGTCTTCAAATATTTCTCATAGAAATTGAGACAAATTAGACAAAGGATGTGTACCTTTGCTCCAAGCTTCTGTCCTCAAGTAATTCTCTTTATGATTTTTAGTCTATCTATTTTAGAGAGTTGTTATCTTGGTTTATTTCCATTAGTAAATAATGTGAGTATTTAGGAGACCAAAGGGCCTCCTGGTTCTATAATGTGAAAAATATAACACCTTTTCTTCTAATATCCTCCAGGGATCAATCTGGGAAGATTGGTGTTTTTAATGGTACAGAGAGAGGTATAGCAGTTGTGTTTTCACCCCTAAAGTGAACAGGTGCATGGCGTTGTGGGAAATGAAAGCCTTGGAGTAGAGGCTAAAGAAGTAAAAGTATACTTGTCTTTTCTATATACTAGCATTCAGCATAGTCTTTATTTCCTCCTGGTGCCTGGGACAAGGAAGGATTTCATGACAGAAGCTGCTGTTATTCTGAGACAGAGACCTTTAAGTACCTTCCCATTTCTCAGGCCCTACACCTGTCTGGATCAGCCCCTAGGAGCTTTGAAATTGACTTGGGATTGACTCAGAAGTATGAGTCTATCATGGGATATTTTCTTTAAAAATTTGCCTTTTCCTAAGATGCTCAATCCCCATTCAGAAAGGCAAAGAGGATGGACATCGGAGGAGGGAGAAAACAGGGAACAGGACAGGAGCCTACCACAGAGGGCCTCTGAAAGGCTCTGCCCTGCAGGGTATCGACGCAGATGCTGAGACTCATAGACAAACTTTAGGCAGAGTGCAGGGAATTTTAAGAAAGAAGTGAGAGATAGTAAGACCTGGAGAGGACAGGAGCTCCACAAGGAGAGCAACAGATCCAAAAAGTCTGGGCACAGGGGTCTTTTCTGAAACTGGTACTCTAGGAAGAACCACTCATGGAGATGGCCAGGAACCTCTGCACAGAGGTAGCCTATGGCACTTCAGTGTCCAAGTGCCCTGCATAGTAATGGAGACAGGGACTGTCTCTGACAGGAACTGATTGGCCTGCTCTTTGATCATCTCCCCCTGAGGGGAAGCAGCCTTACCAGGCCACAGAGGAAGACAATGCAGCCATTCCTGATGAGACCTGATAGACTAGGATCAGAGGGAAGGGGAGGAGGACTTCCCTTATCAGTGGACTGGGAGTGAACACAGGTGGGGAAGAGGGAGGGTGGGATTGAGAGGAGAGGAGGGAGGAAGCTATAGGGGGGATACAAAGTGAATAAACTGTAATTAAGAAAAATAAAAATAATTAAAAAAAGATGGAGTTAAGAAATAAAAAAAAAATCTGCCTTTTCTGAAAAGGACTAGCACCTCAGATGAGTGGTATGGTTTCTTTTTTTGTTTGTTTTTGTAGTTTAAGTCTTAGAACAAAATATGAGTTGAGTAGCATTTACATTTTTCTTTGAGTGTCTATAAAATCTGCTCTTTTTCTGTTCCTGTACCCAATATTTGAGAGAGTGTATCAGTAATAGATACTGTAATAATGTCTGCTACCTCACTGAGGCCTGACTAATGGCTGGAAGTCAGAGAAACCTAGTGAAACATGGCCAGCCCTCACTTCGGCTTCCTTCCTTCCTGCCTGCCTGCCCTTTTTCTTTTTTTCTTCTCTTCTTCCTCCTCCTCCCCCTCTTTCTCCTACTCCTTCTCTTCCTTTTTCTTCTCCTGTTCTCCTTCTCCTCCACCTTTTTCTCCTCTTTTTTTCTTCTCTTCCTCCTCCTCTTAAAGGGAGTGTACATTTATAGCATCTTACCATCTTTAGGATTTTAGAACATTAACTAGCTTAATTCTTGGCATCTTTACGTAGGAGAAAGTTAGTTTTCCAATTGTTTTGGTCAGAACTTTAGCTCTTTAAGGCCCTAACTAAGAGGTTCTCCTTCCATTGTTGGTATGGTATCTCAGCATTAACATTGTTTTAATACTTGATTATTTCAGGCTGTCCAATGACTACAGCAGCATCTGATCCAACCAGTGAGAGCAAAGCACAGACTGTGCCCGCCCACCAAGAACGGGCCTATGAATACGTGGAATGTCCTGTTACTGGTGCTGCAGCTAAGGAAAAGGAGAAACTTGATCCTTTAAACCTGGTAATCCTCCCTCAGCTTTTCTAAGGGCATTTTATGCATCTGTGAATTCTCTATCATGGTCAACTGTGTCTCTTCAGACTATGAGCTAGAATAAATCTTTCTTAAATTTCTTCTTGCTAGTTATTTTATAACAGCAGCACAAAAAGTGGTATGACCAAAATATACCAGAGGTGTGAAACTCTTATTTCATTAGTTTAATGGGAACTTGTGCTTTTTATATGGTGTATTGCTTTCCAGGGTGTTCTGATTGTTTTGTAGTTTATACCATAGTGCTAACATTCAGTTATAATCCACCAATTTTCTTTAGATGCCGCCACCTAATCAGACACCATCCCCAGATCAGCCATTTTCTTTGTCTACATCAAGAGAGGAGTCATCAATTCCAAGAGCAGATTCTGGAAAAAATTGGGTTTACCCTTCTGAACAGATGTTCTGGAATGCCATGCTACGGAAAGGGTGAGTGAACATATTTAGAACATTAATATGCTTGCCACACTGATCTCAGAATTAAATATTAGGAGGGTTTTTGTTTGTTTTTCTTTTGGTTTTTCAAGACATTTTTTTTCTGTGTAGCCTTGGCTGTCCTTGGCTTACTTTGTAGACCAGGCTGGCCTCAAACTCACAGAGATCTACCTGCCTCTGCCTCCCTGAATGCTGGGATTAAAGGTGTACACCACCACACAGGCGTGCGCCACCATGCCCAGCTTAAATGTTAGATTTTTTTTTAATATCCAAATTATATATCACTTTTTAGTGAGTTAAACAGTTTATAAAAGAATTTTCAGAGTTATCAGAGTGTAAGTTCAAGACCAATATTCAAGGTCAGTGTTTTCTAGAAAAACAGAACTAAGAGGGCATGGAGTTGGGGGTGGTCAGCAAGACATTGTTATAAAGGAAGCGATGGAAGCCAGCAGCATATCCCAAGATCTATAGCCAGCAAATGGAAGACCTGAGAAAAGCCAGTGATATGGTTAGTTAGTCTAAGGCCCTCAGAACCAGGAGACCTGGTGGTAGAAGTTCTGGTCTAAAAAATTGGGAAGCTTGAAATCCAGATAGACCTGATAATTTAAGTTCAGGTTAAAAATCAGGTAAAGCCTAACGTTATAGCTCCAGCAAACATGCATGAGTCCCATTTGCTTATGAAAGGACTGTAGCCCCTGACTGGCTGAAATCTACCTGAACAGGTCAATCAGTTTTAAATATATCTCAAAACATTTGTACTTTTAGAAATACATACATACATACATACATACATACATGTGTGTGTGTGTGTGTGTGTGTGTGTGTGTGTGTGTGTGTGTAATTTTGGAAATACCTACATATATATGTATAAACACACACATATAAACACTGTTATATAAAATGCCTAGATAAAGTTGGCAAATCATTTATCAGTGGTACTAAATGAATAGCGCCTCCTTAAAAATTGATTGTTTTGTAAGTATGGCTTTTGGGGATCATATGAAATAACATTAAGATGAACCTTTAATCTTTAATGTCAGTGTATGTAAGCATTTATAAAAAAGTATATTTTATGTATTCATTGAGTAACTTCTTTAGTCAATAATATTTGTTCTTTCTTAGGTGGAAGTGGAAGGATGATGATATTAGTCAGAAAGATATGTATAATATCATTAGAATTCACAATCAGAATAATGAGCAAGCTTGGAAGGAGATTTTGAAGTGGGAAGCCCTTCATGCTCAGTAAGTATGTTTGAAATCTTTAAAAGAAGTTCTAGCATCTCTTCATATCAGCCTTCTTACAGTGTTAACATTTAAATAATAATTTGTTATTCATTTGTGTAGCAGGGATCATCCTTGTAGAACTGACCACATACTCAGTGAGTGCCTAAGTTCAGATGGCAGAGAATTTGGAGCAAAGATGCCTCAGCTCTTCTCCATGGTGGCTGAGGCCTCATATGCTTAGGTCATTTTCAGAAATGGCTCCTGCAGAGCTGTGGGCTAGAGTTTTCTGAAGGCACGGTCATTTACCCATCTGGCAAGGGGTGCCTGCTCACAGTCCCTGAATCTGGCTAGCTCAGCTGCCTTACATTGCAGTGGCTGCATTCCAGAAGCTGAGTTCTCAAAAGCACCAGACAGAAGCCAGATCTCCTTTTCTGACTTAGCTAGGAAGACTCAAGTATCTCAAGCCTGGCCAGATTCAAGGGGGATATGGAGACCCCACCTGTCAGTGGAAGAAGTATGATAGGGTCACTCATGGAAATAAGAGCACATCAGAAGTGAGACTAATGCCTTTGTGATCCAAGGGAGGTAGGAAAGAACTTTTTGTTTCTTCAGCAGTATTTGGAATCCATATAAGGACTGACATTAAAGGTCTTTTCTTTACATGAGCCCCTTTTCTCAGAGAGAATTGGTCAGTTGAAAGAGCATTGGTTCTTTCCTTCACCTGGCAGGTTTGTTGTAACTCTACACACTAGGCTCACTTATAGAATGTCTGATCCAGTTCAGAATGGGTCCTAGGCTTGATGCTTCTGGAATGATATGACTGCTGCTGGTTTTAGTTCTCTTCTTCCAGAAGTGAAGGGTTGGGGGATATCTTCACAAAGAACCATGTCCTGTTGTAATCTGGTTTACATTTCAAATTCTTCTCAATGCATGATTAATATATTTCTTGGAGAAAAGCCAACTGAATATTTTTAAGGTAGTCTCTTTGTTTTTGGTATTTGCATTGAGCATTTCAGTATTAACACTACTAGAGTGTCATTAGCTGGATCCCAGGTGTAAGAGGGGTATACTTTTCTTTTTGTAACCCCTGACCTAGAGGAAGGACCTGGCTGGCTAACTTGGAATTGCGAGTGGCTGTTATAACCTAGGTTAAAAATGTACTCTAATTAAAGCCACCTGTTCTTTACTTGTAGCGTGATTTTAAAAGCAAAAGGAATTTTAGCTTGTCAGTTTCAACACCACTAGTCATTTTGCAGATTTCCGGCAAAATTAGCTATACCATGAAAGCCCCCACTAATGATTCCAAAAGAAAAGTTACATAGATTGAGTTTACTGCTTTGATAGTTGGCTCCGTTGTACTGTGGATATGGATGGATTCCCTTACATGTTAAGAATTTAACTTGTTTTATGAATGGGAGCAGCCAGCAAAGTAAGTGGCTCTTGTCTTAATGGACCAGTCTTCCTACCCCCATTAGGGAAGTAGGTTTGTGTCTTTCAAGTACAACATTTGTACCTCAGATCCAGTAGAGGACAGGTCCCTAATGGCTTTTACTTAAAAAAAAATGTTCAGCACACTTACATCTAAGTCTGTTACTTGGTTGAAATGAAGCAACAAAGTCCTCTTACAATATTATTGGATTGGTTCCAGGGCATCCAAATATGACAAAAGCCAGGGATGCTTAACGTCTCTTACTATAACTTCATTTCATTTGCATACAGTTTGTGTGTGTGTGTGTGTGTGTATATATATGTATGTACATCTTCCTATATATTTAGTCATTTGTAATGATTAAAAACAATGTGAATGTTATGTAAACAGTTGTTATACTGTATTATTTAAGGAACAACGAAAAGGAATGAAATTAAGATATGGTCAGCACAAATGCAGAAGTTTATATTTGTTACCGGCTTGTTTTTGAGACACTCTTATATAGCCAAGGCTGCCTTTTGTATCACCCAAGGATAATCTTGATCTTGTGATCCTCCTTACCTTCACCTCTCAAGTGCTAAAATTACATATGTATGTTACAATACTTGATTTATATGGTACTAAGCATTGAACACAGAGCTTTATGCATGGTAGGCAAGTGCTATACTAACTGAGCTATATCCCCAGTCCACAGGTATAGTTGTTTTCCAAGTATTTCCAGTGTACAGTTGGTTGAATCTGTGAAAATAGATCCCATTGACCCAGTCCTAACTCTATAGCAGTTTCTGTTGTTTCTCTGAAGAAACTAGCTGCTCTATGCAAAAGAGAAAGAAGACACAGAATGCATAACCCTTTTTTTTTTTTCCCATGTGCCGTGTCCAAATGGAAGGTTCTGTTTCCTGAATCAGACAGGAAAGCCAAGCAGATTCCTAGAGAAAGAGAAACCCAATCTAAAAGGAAAGAGGTTTCCAACAAATAGGTCTAATTTATTTGAACCCTGTTAGAAGTTACTGTTCTCTGTAAATGTGCTCGTAAGTAAATACAGAAAAAAGACATTGCTAAAATACTGGAACATTATCCTGTCAAATGAAAGAAAATATTTTAATAGACTATTCTTATCTGGGTATTTTCAGGGAATGTCCCTGTGGCCCATCATTGGTCCGATTTGGAGGCAAAGCAAGAGAGTATTCACCAAGGGCAAGAATTCGTTACTGGATGGGGTAAGTGTCAGTGTAGACCTGCTATTGACATTTCATAAGCCATGGTAAGCATTCTTACCACCAAAACCAGTGTGTAAGAAAAGCAGTTCTTTGGTTGGAGAAACAGTCTCATGAAAGACCCCTGTGCCCTGAAATATTTGTTCCTTGTGGAGCTCCTGTCCTCTTCAGGTCTTACTAACTCCCCTTCTTTCATATGATTCCCTGCACTCTGCCGAAGGTTTGGTTATGAGTCTTAATATCTGCTTATGGATATAACCTAGACCCCCTGCTCGGATATAGCCCATGGTAGCTCAGTATCCAAGTGGGTTCTCTGGTAAGAGGAACAGGGACTGTTTCTGACATGAACTCAATGGCGAGCTCTTTGACACGCCCCCCCCCCCCCCCCCCCCCCCGAGGGAGGAGCAGCCTTGCTAGGCCACAGAAGAGGACTCTACAGCTAGTTCTGAAGAGACTTGATAAGCTAGGGTCAGATGGAAGGGGAGGAAGACCTCCCCTATCAGTGGACTTAGAGAGGGGCAGGGAGGAGATGAGGGAGGGAGGGTGGAGTTGGGAAGGAATGAGGGAGGGGGCTATGGCTGGGATACAAAACAAATAACCTATGATTAATATAAAAAAATAAAAAACATTAAAAAAAAAGAAAAGAAAAGCAGTTCTATATTCTAAAACTTCAGAATCCAGCCTATAGTTCATCATCTACTTGAGCTTACTCATACATGGGCAGAATTATGAGGGTAGAGTTGTGAGTTTCCTACTTCACTCTCAAAGGATTGAATTGTTCTCATTTTGGTATCCTTAGAAGTGTTCTTTTATTCCTCTTGTGGTCTTTACCCTTCCTCATTTCTCCCTTGTCTTACAGTGTAATTGGGCGACTTAGCACATTTGAATTCTCCAGGTTCCTAGCTAGCTTTTTTGACCTGGGTGTCTTTCCCATGAACCTATTCCTTTATAGACAGTTGTTCTGACACAGACTCATCATAGTTCATAAGTGCCACATTCTCTAAGCACCATTGACTGATTGGCTAAGTCACATCTCCCCTGCTAGGCATTGCATATAAGAGCAGGTATGTGAGCATGCACTGTTTTTCAGTCTGTCTTTTTGCTTACACCAAGAGTGAATGCAGACCAGCATTTTAACACTTGCTATTATCTTTGCGTTCCAGGTATGAGTTGCCTTTCGACCGGCATGACTGGATCGTCAATCGCTGTGGCAGAGAAGTTAGGTATGTGATCGATTACTATGATGGCGGTGAGGTCAACAAGGACTACCAGTTCACCATCCTGGACGTGCGTCCTGCCTTTGATTCTTTCTCAGCAGTATGGGACAGAATGAAGGTTGCTTGGTGGCGCTGGACTTCATAACCACTATTTTGTTTGTTTTGAAAAACCTGAAACTTCTTTATTTTCTGAGGAAGATGTTATTTCTCCCACACTAAATGCACTCATAATGTAACCAAGGGTACTTTTCAAGTGGGTAATTGTACTTGATCTTTGATTCAACAAAGAAGCCATGCTCCACTAAATTTTGAGTCACATTTTCCATTGCAGTTGATAGGTCATTTGAAGCTTTTTTCCCATTTGATATAAGTGAGAAGTCCCTTACTTTTCCAATTAACCACAATATTTCATGCTATTTTCTGTAGACAGTCTGAACAGCCTCTGAGAAAGCATTTTAAAAAGCACAGAAATCTCTTTTTATCCTTACTGTTTTCTCAGGAATAATTGAGATATAGAACCTGAAAGTGTGATACTCTTACCTGCCCAATATTTTAACTATATTCAACATAAATAAGAAGCACTTAGTCTTGTTTTAAAAGTAACCAAAATTTCTAAAATCCCTACCGTCTACGTTGCAACCCTGAACAAAATGCAAAACTATATATTAAATGTACTCTTCCAGATTGAGATGTCTAAGTGCAATTTTCAGACTTGACTTTGATTGAAATTTCAACTTTATAATACATGTAAATTTCAGAATACTTGGCTTTTCATTCCTGTTCTAATATGTAATTTAATGAGAACCTGTTCTCACTGTTCCTGAAAGTTGACAAATTATCTTATGTTATCCTATCTCATTCCACTGTCCCACCAGGAGCTTGCTTCCATAAATCTTGAAAGCCAGGCTCCCTTCACAATCCCAGCAGTGTTCCTTTGACAAATAAGATTATATTTGGCTACATGTTAGAATTCACAAGAAGTACATTTTTCTCACATGTGAAATGTTTGTATCAATTCACAATCAGTTTGATGTTTAAGCAAGTACTATGTTTGTGTTGAAAACTGTTTTGCTGGGTAGTGGTGGCACAAGCCTTTACTCCCAGCACTCGGATGGCAAATGCAGGTGGATCTCTGAGTTTGAGGTCAACCTGGTCTACAGAGGGAGTTCCAGGATAGCCAGGGAAAGCCTGTGTGAAAAAAAAAATCAAAAGAAAAATAAAGAAAACTAGTTGTTTTCAATTTTAATTATAGAAGCATGTTAAAAATAACTTGTTTTTTCTTAAGTGTTAATGAATGAAAAAATTTTAATTCATCCTAAATTAAATTAGTGGACAGAGTTGATGTCTCTGAGTTATTAATTTGATGCAGATTTCTTTGTTGTATGATGCTTCAAAAATCCAACATGTGAAAATATTTGTATTTTTTAAATAAAGCTGAGAGTTAAAAGGTTTTGAAACTTCTCAGAGTGATTCTATAGTTACTTATTATTTTTTTTCAGACACAAACTTCACTGAAGGCATCAGTGGTCTCATCTGTTAATCACATAATTTTAAACTGCATAAGAATGTAAGCACCAATGGACCTTTCGGGTCACAACTGTTATTGTGTATAGGATAAAGTATTTTGAAAAACAGCATTATGACTGGAAACTTAAAATTAAGTTGTGTGCAAGGGTTCACACTGTTACAGTGATAATTGTAAAAGTCAGGTAAATTCAGTTACAAGAACAACAGTTTTATACACCGTTCACCACTTCTGGAAAAGACACCTACTGAATACTCAGTCACTTTGTGGGTAGATTACCTTTAAGTCTGCCTAGGAAGTAGAACCTCTCTTCTCTGATGTTTTTTTTTTTTTTTTTTTTTATAACTTGAAATTTATTTTGGATCATCTCCAAGAGTTTAAACTAAGGTTTCTTTTTAATCTGTGGAAATGGCATCATTCATAATCAGAACATACTATTCCATGTCAGGTAAGGTAGGTTCAAACTGGGTTACATATTAGCATTTATTATTCCTATGAATTCACTAACTATCATTTGTGTGATGTTGATATTCACTCTGCATCACACCCTGGACCCAAAATTGCAAAAGATCATCCCCTACCTAAAGAAATTCAGTCTTTCAGAGCTCAATCTGTAAACAAAATCATAGTAGAATTTCTTATTTAACTCACTATGGTAATGATAGGGTTAATGATACATATAAATACATTTCAGTCTATCTAGTACTGTGATGGTTAGTCAATTTGAAAGAATTCAGAATCACATGGGAAGTGGGATTTAGGATATACCTATGGGAGTCTATCTTGATTACTAATTGAAGTGGAAATATATAGTCATTGTGGGCTGTACCATTGCTCCATTAGTATCCTATACTACATAAAATGAAGAAAGTGAGCTGAATACTAGCAACCATGCATTCACCTCTCCATTTGTGGACTGTGGACACAAGGTGACCACCTGCTTCAGGCTCTTCTTGCTGCTTTGACTTCCCCAACATGATATAGTACCTAGAACTGTGAGCCAAAACCCTTTCTCAAGCTGCTTTTGTCAGGCAATTTTTTTTTCACAGCAACAGGAAAGGAAACTAGGAAAGTTAGCAGTTTCTTTGGTCCCTGATGTGCTTACTGTCTAGCAGAATTACTGACAGTGAAGTGCTCTGTATTTACTTCCTTTCACATCCTTGTGACTGTCAGCCATGTTCAGTCATTGCTATTTCTTTAGGTGTGAGGCTCTTTGTGATTAAGAGGAATACCCTAAAGGCTGGTAGCTTGTTGGAGCACTCTCTTTATTTAGTGACATTCCTATCTCTGCACCTCCGTTTTAATGACTATAAAATGAGAAAAAATGAGCAGGCATAGAGTTGTTTTGCAAGTTCTATGGTCATTTCTGAGTGTTCTTGGTGCAGAGCCATGAATGGAGGAAGCTTAACAGCCACCCCCACTATTGGCAGTGCCCAGCCTAGGGAGGTTCTGAAGCAAGGCTAGAAGTCAAAGTGCTTAGACACTCCACAGGAAGAATCTTTTTTTTTTCAGTTCTATATCTTATTTATTTTTTTAATTTTTTATTTTTTTATATTAATTAGTTCATTTACTTATATCCCAGCTGTAGTCCCCTCTCTCATTCCCCCCCTCCCATCCCACCCTCACTTTCTCTCATCTCCTCCCTGCCCCTCTCTAAGTTCACTGATAGGGGAGGTCTTCCTCCCTAGGAAGAATCTTAAAGATCAAGGAGGACCTTCTGATTTGTGTCACTTTTAGGTGCCGACAGGTAGATATAACAGATACTTAATCTAACATGTTATTTAAATAACCTCATGTTATTTAAAATGGCTAAAGGGAATATCTTTTTCAGAATACATAGAGATAGGTGATATTTAGTTAACTTAATGTGCAAGTCCCACTGGACAAACATAATTAAGCTCCTGAATTTTCTAATATAAACTGTTAACCATATAAACACAGAAACCAGCTTCAGAAATAGAAATTAGGTAAAACCTGAAAGAGAGCCACCAAAAATGCTGCCATGAAGCTGGGAAGAACCGGGAAAATAATCAGAAATACAAAATTTTTCACAACTTTCCAGATTCTTCTTAGAATTTTCTGCTACAAAAGTGTACTGGAATTGAAGATGGTGTGTCCTGTGTGTGGGTCATGTAAGGAATAAATGGCTCCCAGAAGAACAGTGGGCTTTGCTCCTTCCAGAAGACTCTTCTGCTTATTTTAGACCAAATCCTGGGATTCTGTGCTTAAAATAAAAATAGCTGGAATGGTTTTTACAAGTATGGGAGTTTTTGTTTTATGGCTCAGTTTCAACACTGCACTTTGGTCTCTGAACTAGATGAGTGTGTTAATCTGGTCAGGCACTATAACCAGGTACCATGGGTGGAGACCTTATACCATAGACATTAATTTCTGCCAGTTCTGGAGGCTGTCAGTTGGAGATCAAGATGGACATTATTCAGTGGCTGGTAAGAGCTTTCTGTTTCATAGGTGACAGTTATGATTCTCAAGTGTAGAACAAGCAAAGGAACACTGGGGTTTTCTCTGTCATCATAACCTAACCACTTCTTGAAAGTTCTATAACTACCCCTTGACAAGATAGCTTCCCCGTGTGATAGGGGCATGAACATAGGAACAAACAGCCACTTCTGATTGCAGCTAAGGCCATCTCCATGAGATAGAACCCACATATTAAAGGGACAAAGAACCCGTGACTAGATAGGTCATACACTCTAGGGGCAAACCCAATACTATAATTCTTCTAAATGGACATAGTATTAAAATGACTCCTATTGCTATTTTTATAGATCAGAGCATCTCTCAACCCCCATCTGAGAAGCTTCTTGCAGTAGACTCCAAGTAACAAAAAGACCTTCAACTGGTTGATGTGCTCAGAATAAGAGACCATGGAGTTATCAGCCGTAAATGGGACATACATATCATTCCCTTCTCCCCGGGGATCAGGAATCTTTGCAAAAGAGGGAACAAAGATTTTAAGAGCCAAGGATGTTGACTAAAACCAAGGAAATATTTTCCCCAGAGACAACAGGGAAGTTATACACATGAACTCAAAATAATTACGGCAGTATGCACAAGACCTGTGCAAATTTCAACCAGACAAAAATCCTGCACAGAGTGATGAAGATGGGCATGGATCACACCACTAGCTGGAGTGGAGGCTATAATCTTTCTGTTAGAAGAGAGAGAGTCAGAGTCCTGATAGGCTGACCACACACAAGAGCAGGCCCCTAATCCCGAGACTAGCTGGCAATACAGACTGGACTTGATGGAGAAACAAAAACCCAAAAGGAAATAATATTAAAGTTGGGTGAAAATGGAGGTTGGGAGGCTGGTTCTGGGAGAATTTGGGAAAAGCAAATATTATCAAAATACATTGTATGAAATTCTCAAAGAATCAATAAAAATATCATAACCTTAGAGGTATAGATTTTGAATGGATACAAACTATAGGCTGTAGCAGCAAGAAAGCTACATATCAAAATTAATAAACTTGGACTCCAAAGTAAGAAGGCTAAAATATGGCAAAGTAAGCAATAGGAAGGAAAAAGACTGGAAGCAGGTTGGGTTTATCAGAAATAGTATGTGTACTCTGGGATGGAACAGAGAAGGTTTCTAGCTTGGCTTTCAGATGGGAAAGTGTCCTGGAAAAGATTCAGGAACCTGGGCTCGCACTCTTCCTCATTACTGGTTTGTGAAATAGTCTCAGGTCAAGGCCCTTTTGCCTCCTTCACCCGAGTTGTTTACTTATATACCAAAGAGCCACTGTTCTTCTCTTTGTCCAACAGCATGTCTGACCATTTCACAGTCCACTGAAAAATAACAGTGGAAGTGGGGCTTGTTGAAAAGAATTAACATGTCAAGATAGCAGTACACAAGCCAAATAAGCTAAGTGCAAGACTGCGAAGTCACAGCGCGCACGCTGATCACAAATGTAACATCCCTGATTTGGACAAGTTTTTCAGCTATTTGTCCCATGTCCAGGAACACGCTTTACTGCAGAGGTGTTTGACTTTGGAGTGCAGGCAGCATTTTATCATAGCCATCCCTCTCTGACTTTTCACCCTAGAAAAGACAGGTGGATAAATGGATGAATCCACCAATTGATTCTTTTTATTTTCTTCAACAATTTATGGTTTGCATGTCACTAGGTTATGTTTTGGGTTTGTGTGGCTTACTGGCATATATTGTTCTTATAACAGTATTGTACACAAGAGTTGGTTCACAAGTCTTGATTGAAATAGCCTTGAAGGTGTATCTAGACTCCCTTTATATCTTTCAAACCCATGTGTCTGGGACTGGAATCCATGATCAATAGGCCCTAGTAAGTGTAGATTGGCTACAGATTATTAGTTAAAGCCATCAACCAATCATTTGATCTGTTGAAGTGATCACATTGCTATCATACTTCTTTGAAGTAGAAGAAAATCTGAAGATAATGCTAGCTTATCAGCAAGTGATTCTATCTATTACAGGAATTCCATTCTTGGAGCAATATAAATAAATGTCTGTCCCCTCCTTATAGGTCTCCAGTGACACAATCAAAGTACAATTTCACTGAAGGCCAGACTCCTTGGTGAACCAAAGATTTTAGTGGGCTTACAGAACATGTAAGAGGGGTTGCTTATATGATATAGATAGTTGACCCCCCAAAGAGCTGCACCACCAGAAAGACTCATTTAATTATTGCTGATAACACTCCCCCATAGCTATATAGATGGAACTAACCACTTAGCCATCACACTAGCTCTTAATATTTCAGTTTTAGAAACAAGCATCGTGGGATGCTCTCTTTTCACTATTCCATACAATACAGAGATGGGGTTCCAAGAGTCTTTGTGGGACAGTGATACTTAACAACAGTTTCTCTATGCTTGACAATTCCTTCTCAAACCTTTTCTGTATACCTGTGTCTGCTTTTCAAGGAAG